CAAGCCTGGGGAGCAGGGGGTGCAATTCAGCACTGGAAGCAGGGGACAGGGAGAGGCACAGGGCACACGAAGCCCCCCGCTCCCCATATCCATGCCCTGAGGGGGTGCCCTACAGGACCAGCACGACGTTGCCGTGAGCGACATCTGATCCGGGCTCATCCCGACCCTTGCACACGTGCGTAACCACCTTGGAGCAATGCCCGTCGGGGTCATACCCCTTCCCCTTCCCCGCTGCTCCCCGGGGCAGGAGGCAGCGTGCCTGCGGCTGGCCCTGGCCCTGGCAGGGTGTGCGCCGGGGTGCCCCCGGACCCCGCATGCGCCGGGCTTCGCAGGCGATGGTTAAGTCATGTGTTTTGTGTTGGGCTTCTCCCCCTCCTGGAAAGTCCCTGTGCGGAGCGGTGGGGCTGAGCCGACCGCACACAGCTGCGGGCCACCACATGAGAGGAGCCAGCTCCCCGGGGATTACAGAGCCCCGGGAGCCGTGGGGAGGAGGCAGGAGCACCCGCGCCGTCGCCCTTTCATCTCTCCCCTGCCTCGCTCCCCCTTTCATGTCTGCCTCGCTGGCCACGCTCTCTTTTCCTCCGCCGCCTTTGCTCTCTTTGCACTTGGCCTCTTTTCCCTGCCTTCCCCCCACCCCTTCCCCGCTGCACCTGGCTGTGCTGGCTGCCTCTGCGCCTCTCCTGTGTGTCCCCCCCCCAGGACCCTGCGCTTTCATCCCCCGGCCGCAGCCGCCTGCTCCCACCTCCCCTGCTCTGGCTGCCTGCCCCTCGCCGGCTGTGCCCCTCTGTGATCTCCCTCCCCATCCCCAAACCTCCCATCGCTTTGGTGGGAAGGAGGGGGTGGCACAGGCCAAGTCCCCTCTGGAGTTCTCCCTTCTCCATCCAAAGAGCTTCCCTCCCTTTCTCCCATCCTTCCCCTTGTCCCCACCAGGCTGCCTCTAGGGCCGTGTGTGTCCCAGGCACCCCCTTGCCCCATCGGCCACACTGGAAGGAGTGCACTGGGGGTGATGGGGGACCCCGATGTCCCTCCCTGTCCCTGGAACCCACCTTCTTCTTCTTCAGCCCCAGATGGAGACCAAGCGAGGGCACCCTTCCTGCAGCAGCCGGTGCCGGGCACTCCTTGCCCAACCAAGGGAAGTCTTTGGTCAAGGGATAAGGGAAAGAAGCGGGTGTCCTATTCTCTTGGCTCACAGACCCGTGCCCGGGACTGCTGTGCGCTCCCCAAAAGTCCTGGGGAGCTTCTGGTGCCAGCCAGGGGCAGGGGGCCGTGTGTGCTCCAAACCTACCCAAAACCACTGCGGAGGAGTCCCACCTCGAACAGGTGACATGATGCTCTTAGAGCCTTGCCTTTGAGACCACGGGCACCCCGAGAAGCCCTGGTGCCCCCCGCCTGCCCGGCTGGGACCTCAGCCCCCTAGATTTGGGCTGTGAAGGTGCGTGGCAGCGCCGTGCCCCAGGCCACCCAGCCGAGCCGTGGTGCCTTGGAGGCTGAAGTCCTCCTGGGCAGCAGGGGCAGCACGGATAGAGAGCAGCCTGCATGTCCGCTCACTCAACGAGCCCAGCACGGCGGTGGCTGCAGATTAAGGCCACTTTTTGTAGGGCAATGCCACCGGGATGCTGTGCCAGGGGCCGGCAGGCAGGACCCTGGAGGGGTGAGCACAGGGCTGGGCTCCCGAGCCAGCTGCTGCCTCCCTGTAGGTACTCTGCCTTGCCAAGCAGGTCAGTTAGGGCCAAACTTTTTTTTTTTCCTATTTTTTTTTTTCAGGGGGTTGCACGGGCGCCGGTGCCAACACGACATGTTGGGGCTGAACTCCAGGAAAGCCTCGGAGCAGCGCCGTGCCGCTCAGGTTGCAGCACGGTGCCGGGCGGGCTCTGGGGAAGGGGCTCATGGCACGGCCACCTGCCTCCCAACACAAGCAGGGGCAGCGTGGGGGCACGCTGCCCACCCCAAGGCCATTTGGGGTCTGCCCAGTAGCCCAGCAGCTAGATATTGCTCTCTGATGGCTTCCCGGAGAGCAATGTCAAGAGCCCTCTCGCTCCGGGTGCCACCAGTGGCAGCGCTGCCAGCGGGTGCTGGTGGCCGTGCCCAGTGTCAGCCCAGCGTGGGGATGGGATGGGACAAGGGGGGGACAGGGAACCGTTCCCTCAGTGGCTTTGCTTCACGGCTCTGCTGGGAGCAGGAATGGAATTTGGATGGGGCTGGGCGTTCCCGGGTAGCGATTCCCCCGGGCAGGATCTGGCTCCGATGACTGTTCTGCGCGGGGAATAAATACCAGAGGAGTTACTCACGGCTCACTGGGGCATGATGTAGCAACTCCTCGCTGGTTCCCCCCACCCTCCAGCCAAAGTTCCTCCTGTGATCTCCTGGGGAAAGTCCCAGCCCCCCCGTTTTCCCCCCCTGCCACCCCCAGAGACCTTCCCCACCCTTGCTGGAGCTTTCCAGAAGCAGGAGACGAGCTGGGGCTTTGGAGAGCCAGGAGAAAGGACCGGAGCGACCTGCCACACCGGAGGGCATCCACTGCCCCCCGGCTCTTCCACGCCGTGCCTGCCGATGGGCACAGGGCCCGGGCTGAGATAGCATCGGCTATCCCGGGGTATCCGCACCTGGGCAGCCACGCAGCCGGCTTCAGCCCTGGCAGAGGCACGGGGGTGAGCGCACCGGTGCTCAGGGCTCCCTCCTGCCCTTTCGGCGGTCACACCAAGGTCAGGTTTCCCCATCGCTCTCCCCAGCCGCACGGGCGAGGAGTTGCATCTACTTCCAGTTTGTTGGAGGTAGCCGGGGAGCTCTCCTGCTGCTGGGGCTTCAAAGTTTGAGGAAAGCACCAGGCTTTGCAGGGCTCTGCCAGAGCCACGTAGCTGATGGTCCCTCTGCAGGGACCCCCGGGGTGGAGGGACCTCCCAAATGCTTCATGGCACTGGGGGAAATTCCATCTGTCCTTGCCAGCATGGGCCCTCTGCCATCTTTGGAAGCCTTCACTGCCCTTTTTGTGCACATGAAAGAAATGACCATTTATTTATTTATTTATTAGGTTGGGAGCTTCCTTATTAATTTGAATTTGAGGACAAACGGGAGAGCCTTGGAAAAATTTGGTCTCCTCTGGAGGAAACCACCTCAGCCATCTACCGAGGCTCATCTACTCTGGCGCTCATCCCTCAGTCTTGGGCAAAGTGCCTCCAATTTTCCCATTTCAGCAGCATCTCTCTGTGCAGTGCAGGGGGACCGTGGACCAGGAGGTGCAAGGAGCAGCCCAGTCCCCCCAAATGTGGGAAAATGGGGCGTTTTGATGGGACTGGGGCCACTGCCACCTGTGGGCCGGGAGTGAAGCATCAGATATCACCCTTTTCCCCTGAGCTTTGCCAGGACACACAGGGCATTTCTTTTCCAGGGAAGGAGGGGAGATTTGGGATGCAGGGAGCCCGGTCCTGCCTTGCAAACGCCTCTGGAGGCTCAGCTCCATGTGGCGAGGAGGTGTCCTGCAGGCTCCTGGCGTGCTGGATAGGACGGGTGCTTGGAGGCTGGTTACCAGTTAGCAAAGTGCAGGGACACTGTCTGCAACCACAGGCTCTCTCTGCTGCCTTGCCTGCGGCTCGCAGACACTCAGCAAGGGAAGCCGCAGAGCGGATCCCGAATATTGGTTTGTGCTGGGAGCCAGCTGGCCCCACCAGCAGAGGAGCTGCGGCGAGCAGGAAGCCCGTGCCATGGAGCCGCCTGCACCCCGAGCACGCTGCCTGCAGACCCCCGGAAAGGAGGGTTTGGAGAGGGCAGCCACACCTGAGTGGGTCTCCAGGAGCTCCCACACTTACCTCCATCACCTCCACCACCCTCCTTTGGTCCCGAGCCCCCAAAACGCAGCCAGCTCCGGGGCAAGGACCTCATCCAGCCAGTCCCTCCTCCAGGGGCAAAGCCAGCCTGGGCACCATCACGTCTGGGATGGCAAGGGCAGGCATCGTCCCACCCAAGGACATGGAGCTGGGCTGTCCTGGCGTGCTGTGGCAGTGCCACCACTGCTGTCCCACAGCCTGGGGACAGCGGCTGCACGGGTGCCCACAGGAGCGTTATGAAACAAGGGCGCAGGGCTCCTCCCCGCTGCACCGGGGCCACTTGCTTCCTCCCAGCCTGCTGTTTTCCTCCTCGATTTATGTTTTGCTTTTTTGTTTCTTTTTTTTTCTTTCTTTTTTTTTTTTTTTTTTTTTTTAATTCTTCGCTTGTTCTGCTATATTTTTGCATAGCCCTGAGGGCTACGAAGCTGTGGGAGGAGCGGGGAGGTTATCAGCCGGCAGATACCAGCGCCGTGATTCACTGCAGGTCCCCGCGGGCTGCCACAGCCGGGTGGGTGCCCCCCCTGCCACCAGCACAGGGCTCAAATGCCACCAGGGAGGGACAAATTCAGCCCCCAGCGCCTGGCCCAGCCTGGTTGCCTGCTCCTCTCCCTGCTCCCTGCCCTGAGCATCTCTCCAGCGGCGCAGGGGGCAGCGGCACAGCCAGAGGCATGGGGCCAAACGCAGGGATCCCCGTGGGCTGGAGCGGGTGCAGGGTGTGCTTGGCCTCCTGCCCGTCCCCAGCCAGCTGCCAGGGCTGTCACTTTGGGATGAAGGTCACTATGGGGTGAAGGTTTTGCGCACCGGGGTGGGCAGCCCAGAGGGTCCCCAAGAGCAGGGCGCTGCGCCCCTAAACACCCAGCGCTGTCTCCAATCCACTTTTATTCACAATCAGGAAATAACTTACCATACAATAACACAGGCACGCACAGCACAGCCCGGGCACCCTCCCCTCCGGTCACGACAGCACCTCCCTGCGCTACAGCTCCGTCCTGGCAGAGGCGAGCTCCAGCTGGGGGGTGCTGAGCCCCCGATGGATGCCCAAGCCTCCATCCCCACCCCACCTGGGAGCGCAACGTGGCCGGAGGAACCTGCGCACGGTGCCTGGTGCGTCCCCCCACCCTCCCACCCCGTGCCCCGCTTGTCCCCACCCCACCCCACCCCATCCCACCGGGTGCCCCCCCAGTGCCCACCCTGTGCCCCCCGCGCGGTGCTGGTGTCGGCGCTCTGTACAGCGTGGCCGTGCGCTCCCAGGGCTGCCAGCCCCGGTGCCTCGGTGTGGGGCCGGGTGGGCACCCTCCCCGGGTGACAAGAAGCCCCCACCCACCCCGGGTGACGACAAAGTGCTGGTTTCGGAGGGCCGGGCCGCCCTCGTGCTGAGCATCTCCTCTCCGGCTCCGGAGCGGAGGGAAGCGGCCGCCGCGGCTCCATCACCCCCCCAGCGCCGGTCCCCGGGGCGGGCGCGCTTTGTCCCTGGCACCCCGGGGCGGGCGGGAGGCTACTTGCAGACGCTGACCCACTCGGTGATGCGGCACTCCTCGCAGGCCACGAAGCAGCACCAGTGGAACTTGCAGTTGCAGCGCTCGCTGCGGGTCTGCCGCAGGATGTTGTGCCCGCGGCCGCAGCACAGGCTCTCGCAGTTGTCCATGCCCGGGCTGGTCTTGTTGCACAGGCGCCCTTGGGTGCCCAAGGAGTCCAGGGCCGGCTCCCTCTCGCAGAAATCGGGCGATTTCTCGAAGTAGACCAGCTCGCTGATGCCGGCGCGGCGGCGGTGCCGAGCGTGGCCCGGCTCCAGCTGCCCCGCGTTGCGGTTGTGGGGCCGGATGAGGGTGGCCCCGTAGAAGCGGTCCTTGAGCAGGGACCCCACGAGGCGGAACTCGGGGGTCACCTGCCAGCAGGTCTTCAGCTGGCAGCTCCCCGAGGTGCCGTGGCACTTGCATTTCCTCCTCATGTTGTCCATCACCACCTGGGCGGGGAGGGGAAGGCAAAGGGGTTAGCGCGGAGGATGCGGTGTCTGGGTGATGGAGAGGGGGACAGTGGAGCTCCCTGTGTATGGGCCATGTGGGATCACCACGGCACACCAGGAGGTGAATTTCAAGCAGGAACCGGAGATCCTTGCGGTCCCAGCTCGTGGTTTTGGGAGGCTGCAGCAGGGCCATTGCCACACGTCCGCCCCCGCGAGGGACGGCGCTGTGGCTGGGAGCGTGGCCAACGAAGGGACGAGAGGGACCATGGTGGTTATGCCAGGAGGAGGGGACGGTGCTGGCATCCAGGGCAGGTGCTGAAGGGCCACCCAAAAATGCGAGGGATGCTGCTTTGGCCGCACCAAGGCAAAGAGCTCAAGCCCAGCGACCTCCAGGGGCACAGAGCAGCCTCAGAGGGTTGGTGCCACTTGGTGCCACCCTCTGCTCTGACCCCACAGGGGGGGCTGCCTGGCTTGGGGACCGAGCATCTCCTCCGAGCCGTGCCTGAGAGCAGCAAGGAAGGCAGCAGGCCTGTCCCCCATCCTCCCCCTCCGCACCCCTTTGCCCGAGAGTAACAACGTAATAAGGGAAATTAGCCCCAAATTACAGAGCGCGGAGAGATTGAAGGCAGCAGGCGCTTTGAAGCGCTTTGCCACCAGCTTTGTGGTGGTTGGGAGACAATTTCCTGCCCGGCCCCAGCCTCAGCGAGCAGGGACAGGGATTCCCCGTGGGACTGCCTGCCCCCAGCCCCACTCACTCATGTGGGCTCCAGCAGACCCCCTCCCACAGAGACCCCCGGACCCCTCGGGGTGCCTCAGCCGGGCTGGGGCTGGCGCAGAGCAGCCCAGACGTGCCAATGCAATCCCAGGCTGGTGCCCCCCGGGGGCTGGGGGACACGCAGCCCCACGTGAGGTTTCATCCCGTGATGTCCCTGCCGGCCTCCTGGCTTCATGCCTGTCACAGGTCTCCTGTTCTCACCCCCTCCCTGGTTGGGGGCAATGCAAGAAGTGCCTTGTTTTGGTAGGGGTGGGTATTTTTTGCCGCTTGTTTGCTTGTTTTTGAGTAAATCTCCCCGTTGCTAAGCACTTATGTTAATGAAGGCAGGTCAGGGAAACACGCCTGGAGCTCGGGGCACCCGGCAGAGAGGTCTGGGCTGGGCTGGAGTTTGCCTTTCATCCTGCTGAGAGCCCTGTCTCCTGCCGGGAACAGCCTCCACCTCGCAGGTAATGAGCTGCCCGTCCTCTCTGCCGTGCCCTGGGCGTGCCGGCGGGGAACACCGACTGCCTGGCATCGGGATCCCATCTTCTGCTGCCTCCCCTCCCAGGCCTGGACCAGGGAAATCCACATCGAGTGCCGCAAGGTCCCCGCTGGGACGGAGGGGACGGGATGCTGGTGTCCCCATCACCCAGCGTGGAACAGCCGAGCCATCACAGCACCGGGCATCCCAAACCCCCGCACCGCAGCATCCCTGCCCTGTGGGCAGCCTCTTCTCCATCCTGCTTGGGGGGCAAGACCCCCACCAGGCCCCGGAGTGCCTTCGCCACCACCTCTCCTCGCACACCCCTGCCCAGCCAGGTCCTTCTCCCATCTCACAGACACCCGGGTTCGGCACATGCCTGAACTCGCTGGTGCTTTCTTTCACACATTCCCAGCTCCTCCCAGACACGCTCATAAGAGCTTTATCGTAGCCCTTTGTTGTGAGGGTAATGGGTAGTTCCAGGCTCCCTGCCTTTCATCCTCTTGCTCTCTGATCTGGCGGGCGAGGAGGGCTCGCAAAGCCTCCCGCGTGCGTGCTGGGGTCTTGAGTTTGCACGGGAAGCCTCACGCTGAGGGGGGGGGGGTGAGCTTTTTTTTCCTTGCCCCCGTGGCTTCCTGCGCAAAGGCCAGGCAGCGAGATGCCCACGAGGATGCTGCTGTGCTGTGCATCCCCTCCCCGGCTTCGGAGCTGGATTTAAAAGGGCATGTTTCTGCCTGGTTTCGAACCAGGGACCTTCCGCGTGTCAGGCGAACGTGATAACCACTACACTACAGAAACCCGCGTCCCTGGGCCACCAGGGCTGGCTTTCGGTGGGTTTGTCACCTCCCCGGGCACTGCGGGGTCCGAGCTGGGAGCCAGGCACGCGTCGGCCCTACAAACATGCAGGGTACCCTCGGGGGGCACGTGGACCTCGGGGAGGATGCTCGGGGCTTGCCCCTGGTAGAGGAGAAGCGCACAGAGCTGCTGCCCCTGCTCCTTTCCGGGGAGAGCAGATCCTAAAGGCGCTGCAGGGTGACATCCCCCATCTCTGGGGTTTCCCTTGGCGTTGTGCACCCGGGAACAGCAAGCACCGTGCTGCTGGGGTCCCCCCTGCACCTGCTGGCAGTGCGGACGGGCAGGGGAGCGCAGCCAGCTTCTGGTCCCCTCCTGCTTTTAAACACCACTTCCCAGACAGAGAGCTACTAATTAGCACCTTTAACGAGACCTGACATCATGAGAACGGAGGGGAGGCAGCTCTGCTCGCCTCAGGCACTTGTGCCACCCCAGCACCAGCCCCTGCATCCTCCCGTGTGTGTCCCAGGGATGCCGTCCCCACCGGTGTCCCCATGTCCCCCCCCGTGGTGCCGCTCACCTGCCGCCCCACGCGGTTGTTGTGCAGCCTCATGCGCGAGTGGATGTCCCGGTAGGTTTCCCGGGAGTCGAGGAAATCCTTGGAAAACTTCTCCCCATAGTCCACGTCGGGGCTGCACCCCCCCCACTCCCAGGAGTCCTGGAGGCCGGGGGTCTCGGCGGGCATGTGCTCCATGTGCACGCCGTGCACCATGCCCTTGCCGCGGTTCATGGCCTCCAGCTGGAGCCGGTGCAGCTTGCGGCGAAAAGCCTCCTCGTCGCCCCGCCGCTTCTGGTCGCAGCCGCAAGCCTGCAGCTTGCCCAGGGCGCAGGCGTTGGAGACGGCGTGCACCACGCCGGCCGCCGCGATGGCATAGGCGAAGGCGCTTTCCCGGAAACCTGCGGGGAAGGAGAAAGAGGGGGCTCAGGCCGGGCTCCTGCTGTGTCTGGACCATGAACAAAACCTCTCCGTGTGCCCTGAGTGCCGTTGCCAAGCAGGGCACAGCGCTGTGCCAGGTGCCAGCCCTGCCCAGTGCTGGCTGCAGACGGCAGGACCGTCACCTGCGCTCGCAGCGCCCTGCGGAGATGCCACCGCGGCGTCTGGGGCTGGTGGGAGAGGCAGTTATCGCCTTCCATCCCATCTGAGCTCCCCAGGGCATAAAAAGAAGAAAGGAAGGAAGGAAGGAAGGAAGGAAGGAAGGAAGGAAGGAAGGAAGGAAGGAAGGAAGGAAGGAAGCACATTGGCTGAGGAATATTTCTGCGAAGGAATAGATCCCACACCGCTGGGAAGCACAGAGTGGGTGCAGGCGTCCTCCCCAAACAGGCGGCTGTGCCGACAGCACTGCCCAGACAGCAGCAGGCAGGATTTGTCCCTGGCTGAGGCGGGCAGCAGCACTCCCCACCAGCTGTGGGTCCCCGTGCACAGCACCAGGACCCCAAATCGCGGCCCCGGGGTGCGCGGCACTGCCCGTCCTGCCCTATCCATCTGCGCCAGCCCGCTCCTTCCCCGAGCCCCGAGCCCTGAGCCCTGCTGCTTCCTGCTGAAACCTCCTGTAAATGTGATACGGCGCTGGAAAAATTGCACATCCCTGACCGCACCGTGGGCTGCCAGGGCCGGCAGCTGGTTGTCGTTAAGCGCCGGGGAGCGAGGACACCCGCCAGTGCCATTAGCAGCCGGTGGGGCGGATGGGGACAGGGACGGGTCCCGTGGGGCTGCGGGCAGGGGCTGCTTGAGGGCTGCGCAGGGACACAGCCTCCCCTACCTGGGACCTTCTCTTTTCGGTGTTGTTTTAATGCTAATTATTATTTTCCTTCCTGCTGGTGCCAGGCCAGGCGGGGAGCCCCCAGCACGCTTCGCTTCGCTGCGCCCTGACCGGCCCAGGAGCAAGGAAGGAGGGAGGGACAGACTTTCTGCGCTGCCTTCCCACGTGAATAAATAAACGGATGGGCTTTGCAAGCCCCTCTCCCTCCTCTGGACAAAAAGACCTCGGACAGCCCTGGGGTTGCTGAACATTCAGGGAGGTTTGGGGGGCTTTTCCCAGTGAAGGCTCCCCGGTGGGTGCGCTTGGCGCAGGCGATGCTCGGCAGCACGCATGTCTCCTCCGTGGTTCCCTGCCGCCTGCTGAGCCAACGCTATGATCTTATTAAAGGGAAACGAAACGCATCTCGGAAACCTGCATTTAAAGCCCTGCTGCTCTTTTGTGTGCTAATTTGACACTGGTGCGTTTAAAAAATTAACGAGGCGCTGCTTAAAAGCAACCGGGAGCCTCTCCCAGCTTCCCCTCGGTGTCGGACAAGCTTGCTCCGAGCCTGTCTCTTCCAATGCACAAGTTGAACAACATTTTTCACTGGGCAGGTAATGGGGCAGCTGGTGCGCACGCTGTGCAGCCTCCCCGGGGGTGGCAACACACCCACGCCACGATCAGCCCCCGCTCCCCATCCCTGGCCGGGGAGCATCTCCACATCCAGCCAGGGAAGCTCTCGACGCACGGCAGCAGCTTGTCTTTATTATAAGGACCTCATCTTACCAGCCTGCGCCACCTCCCTGCAAGCTTCCCCGAGAAGCAGAGCCCAAATCTGGGAACTTCATCCCTCGGGCGTGCAGCGCAGGATGGAGAACGAGCCCCCGGCACCCCCAAACCCCCTGCATCACCCTATCAGCTCTGCATCCCCTGGACCAGCCTCCAGGCTGCCTCCTCGCCTGGCACGGGCAGCTCTCAGCCCCGCTGCTCGGTGTCCCCGGCTGCTCTCCCAGCCCGTGCCCAGGGATGGCAGGAGCAAAATCTTCCACGCTCTCCTCTCCAGCCCTGCCTTTCCGTTAGCCTCTTTCTCACCCGTTTCCCCATCCTAACTAATAATTTCCCATGCGGCATCTCCTTAAAATCCCTCCTGGAGCCCAGACAGAAGCTCTACCCCACCCAGGGTGTCTAGCAAGCCCGTCTCCTTGCTGGTGAGGAGACCAAGTTGCTTTGGTGCCCTCCACGGCTGGGAACCCCTTGTGGCCAAGGTGGCTGCAGGTGACAACCCTGGGCATCGCGGTCTCGGCAAGGGTGGGATGTTCCAGGAACCTCAGCCAAGCACGGTGAGCATCAGCTGCTCCCCGAGCCCTTTGGAGAGAGGGACCAGCTGCCCAAGGCTCCTCAGGTCTTGGTGGTGATGCCCGAGTCACCAGGTCCCTCCAGAGAAGAGGTTGTAGCTGCAGGAGATGCGAGAAGGGCTGCGGGAAGTATCCTGCTCTGCACTCTTGCTGCCTGGTCCAGGGGCACCGTAGGGTACCCCGGGGATGCCCAGGGTGGCTGCCAGGCCCCCGTCCCCACTGGCTGGCGAGGCAGAGGAGCGCTTCTCCCGCGAGAGCCAGCCGGTCCCGACACGCCGCCTCTCCCCCAGCCCCGCTCCCTCCCCTCCCCTCGCCCTAATTAAACTGCAGGTGAACCTGCCAGGCTCTGGCCCCGCGCCAGGCACTAAACGGCTCCCTGCAGATCGCGACTTGCCCTCCCTGCACCTCCCGAGCGTGCCGGGGACAGCCTGGAGCCCTCGCTGCGAGCACGCGGCTCCCCGTCCGCCCACGGCGCTGCGGGCCGGGAGCTGGAGCTGCTCCTCGGGCTGCGGGGAGCTGGGCTCAGCCCTGCGCCTCTGGGGATGCTGCCCGCTCCCCGAGGGCACCGCTTTGTGCCCGTGCACCCGGGGGGCACGGCCGGGGGCTGCGGGCACCCGCAGGGCTGCAGCTGAGCACCCGTGGCACCTGCGTGCGCGTGCGCGTGCGTGTGCGCTTCGGGGCCAGGTGGGCAAAGCCCGCAGCTCGCCTGGGGGCACTGAAAATCCCTGCCAGGATCCCAGCTGCAGCTGTGCTGGGCTGGGAGCTGCGGTCTGCGGGCGCCAGAGCTTGGCTGGGGCTCTGCAGAGCTGGGCGCCGGGGTCCTGTGCTCGGCAGCATCCCTCGGGATGGCCCTAACAGCACCTGGCACCCTGCCCTGCCGGCCTCCAGGGAGTTCCCCCCCTCCTCGCCAAGCTTTGGCCGGGTCCCCACAGACCCACAGCACCCGGGAGGCTTTCTGAGGAGGGCACAGGCTGGCAAACCTCACCCTGCCTCCAAATGCTGCAGAAGGAACTGGAGGGATGCTGCGCTCCAGGACAGCCCAGCCACAGATAAACGGGGTTGGGATGAGCCATGGGCACAGGGACCTTCTGCACCCCACAACACCCCTCAGGGCTGCACCCCGCAGCAGCACACCCCATTACGGGTCCACTTGCAAGTGCAGGGCCAGGACACAGGCTCAGCACCCCTTTGCCACCCGCAGTGGGTTTGGGGCACGCAGCCAGGCACGGTCCTGCCCAGCCAACTCCCGACAGCCCCTGGATACCAGGGGAACCCACAGCACCGCTCCATCCCTTTCCATCCACCCCTGGAGCCCATCAGCATCCCTCTCCCCAGCTCTTCTGCCCAGAAACCCCCTTGAGACTCCCACCAGGTCCTGCTTGGAGCCTCCCTGCTCCTCCCTGGCTCCCCAGGGCTTGCATCGAGCTGGGATGCTGCCACCTCGCTAGGGGAGACGTGTGGGGTGCAGGGGGACGGGGCGGAGGTGGGAGCCGAGCGGAGCAGGGAGAGAAGGAGGGAGGGAGAGATGGAGGGATGGAGAAAGCAGCTACAAATAATTTAAAGTGAGGTTCACGCACGGCTGAACTGATGGCAGAAGAAGTGGGAAAAGGAATGAAAGATTAAAGGGGTCTGTCACTTCGGGTTACAAAGCATGATCCTGCCAGCACGCTGCGTTCCCAGGCACGCCAAGGATGGGGCAGGAGACCCGGACCTCGGGGACCAGATGCATCAGCGCGTGTGGCACGGAGCCTGCACCCCTCGCTTCGCCTCTCCTCCCAGCTGCATCCCTGCTCTAATGGCCCCCCTCTTCAAGTACAGAGAGGGGGACATCCCCACGGTGCCCGGCGCCCTGGGGCTGAGGACCTTGGGGCAGCTCCTTCCCCGCTGGGCTTTGCACCCCGCTGCTGCTGGAGCATCTCGCCCAGCCTGGGGGGACCCCCAAGGGGGCACCTCGCCCGGCTCTGGGGGTGGCTTGAGACAGCGAGCCGGTGTCTCCCGCTGCCCGAGGAGACTGGAAGCGAAGCGTGCTCCTCAGAGAGCTGGAAATACCACGATGCTTATCAGGGCTGACGGTCCCCACCCTCCCTGCCAGGCCCTGCGCTCGGTGCCGCTCGCGGAGGCACCGGCGCTGCCCTCCTCCGGGCACCTGCCTGCAGGCAGCATCCCCTGCCCCCTGCCCTGGATGTGAGGGGCTTCCTGGCACCCACAGGCTGCTGCGTGCCCTCTCCAGCCATCTCCCTACCCTGCCCGTGCATCCCTTCAGAGGACTGACACCTGCTTGCCAACATGAAGGCAGGACAGCAGGGCGATGTGCTCACAGACCTACGGCCCGTTGTGCTTCTGCTCGCCACGATGCGCTGAGACACCATCCCCAAAACCCAGCACCAGAGCACGAAGGAGCCAGGATGCGCAGTGCATCCACCAAACCGAACCCCAGAGCACGGCACACACCTTCACACCCATCCCAAGGTGCTCCCTAGGGCTCCCCATGGCACCACCAGCCTACAGCACGCAGGGGGAAGATTTGGGAAAGTGGTGGGACCTAGGAGGAGTCTCAGGAGAATGGGCATGTAGCTCAGGACAAGGGCCAAAAAAAAGGCGCACGGGGAAGAGCCCAATTTGCTGCTGCTCGGTCTGGCAGATCCTAAGGGTTTTAGGATCCAGCTCTTTCTGCCTTCAGCCATGGGGATGCTGGAGACCTGTCCCGGTGCCCTGCTCCAGGAAGGAGCTGTGCCCGATTTGGGCCCCCGAGAGCGGAGTCTGGGCAGAGGAGGAGGAAGACGAGGGGTGCCTTACCTCTGCTGAAGATGATGCTCTCGTAGGGGATCTTGTTCTTGGTCTCGAGGCTGGAGCAGTTCCAGCGCTGGTCCCGGAACTGGTGCTGGCACTCGTGGATGGCGATCTGGATGCCCTGGATGGCCGAGGCCGTCACGTCGGGGTGGCGCACGCACACCTCCAGCTGCCGCCGCGTCAGCCCCGGCAGCGTCAGGCACACCGTGTTGGCGTTCAGCACCGGCTCCGACGGCAGCTTCAGGCCCAGGATCTCATTGGAGCAGGAGCTTTGGGGGGAAAAAGGGAAAGCCGTGAGCCCAGCAGATGCTGCAGAGGCTGGGAAACCCTCGGGCTCCATCCCTGCTGCCGCCAGATCTGTGTCTCCTGGAGGAGAGAGGGAGGAAGCAGAGGGACCATCCTTTTCCCAGCAGCTCAGCTGGGAATTTCGGAGCTCAGCACCCTGCTGAACGCTCCCAAGCTGGTGCTGTCACCGCCAGGAGCAGCAGCACAGAGGCTGGCAGGGGGATGGGGGCAAGAGGAGGCTCCTTTTTTGGGTACGGGGTCCTTGGAGAAGCAGAGATGCTGTCTGGGGAGAAGGGAGGTGGATGGAGCGTGGGGAGATGGAGAAAGCACATCCAGGGACATGGCTGGAGGTAGGAGAGGGGCAGGCAGGACAAGCAGATGTGAGGAGCTCGCTCAGGACAGCTCCATCCCCGCGGAAAGCTCTCCCCGGGCAGGGTCTCCCTCTTCCCCAGGAGCTGGGTGCCCGCAGGAGCAGGGCGCAGGAGCCCTTCGAGGCTCGATCAGGGAAGGGAGGCTCGGAGGAGGAGGATGCTGGAGGAGGGACTGCAGCTCCCTGGGGGAGCAGCCAGGCCCCGGGGAGAAGGATTGCTCCCGCTCTGCGCCCCCAGCTCCTGCCAGCCTGCTGCAGGGACATGGAGAGAGGCAGCTCAGGGGACAGGGGCTGCCTCGGAGCCCTGGAGGGAGGGCTCAGCCCCAGCATCCCCGCTGAATTACAGCTGGCTCAGGGGGGGAAGGGAGCTGTCAGCGTCACGCTGCTGCCGTCTCCAGCTCCCCAAGTGCCTCCATACCCATCCCACCACTGCCATGGGGCGAGCTGCCACAGCGCGAATCCACGGGGACTGCGACGGGGGGGGACGGAGAAGAAGAAGGGCAGAGGGGGGGCACAACCCTCCAAAGCCCCTGCATGCAAGGGGGACCCTCTGCTCCTCGCCCTGAGCCCTGGCTGCCAGCAGATGGGCAGCAGCCCTGCAGGCCACCCCAAGGCCAGCACCCCGAGCAGCTGCGGTGACCTCAGTCCCCTGCCTGTCCTGAGCCAGCCCCAGCGCCTGCCAGCTTCACCCAGCAGCATCCCGGGGGGGGAAATGGGGGGATAATGCGGTCGCTGTCCCCATTGCACAGCAGGGAAACTGAGGCAGGGACCCCCACCCAGGGCCCAGGGGAGCAGAGGGCAGGTCCTGCTGCCTCTCGCTCCTCCCAGGGCTCAGGGGGGCCAGGGACCCGCACGGGGCTGTCACTGTCACCGTCCCTAGGAGGACGCGGCGCTCTCCCCCCCCCCCCAGCTCTCTCTCCCCCCCCCTTGAAATCTGGATTTAAACTTGATTTCACGGTGACAAGCCCCCAGGTCACAGGCTGCAGCGGCTGCCGCTTTAATTAATACAAGTCCCAACGTTAACAAATTATATTTAAAGGGGCTGGAGGGAGGGGGAAGGGCGGGGGGACCCCCACACACCCCCCCCCCCCCTTTTCTCAGCACCACGGTTAACCCCTGGCTGCCTGCAGCGCACAAGTTTCGGAGCAGGCAGAGGGGAGCTCCCAGTCACCCGGGGGAGATGGAGACAGCCGGGGGTGGTGAGTGCAGGAGGGGGGGGGCGATTTTTGGAAACCAGGAGGCCCCCACCTGCCCCCCCCCACCTTTGCCTTCGGGCTCAGGGATGGGGGGATGCTGCTGGATCCCGGCTGCGGGGTCCCGGGGCTGGGGGCTGCGCTCCCCCCCCCGCCGCCGGCAGCGGCACCGGGCGCTGCTCCCCCATCCCCAGGCCTCCTCCTGGCACAGAGGGGAAACTGAGGCAGGCCGGGCCGCGCCGGGGTGGCTCCGGCCGGGGAGGAAAGCGCAAAGCTCCGCGGTTTGGGGAGCCGCGCATCCCGGCGGGGAAAAGAGGGGGGCGCAGCAAAACTGGGGGGGGGACCACGGCGGCCCTGACAGCGCCCCGAGCGCGGGGAGCCGGCCGTGAGGGGCCACCGGGGGGTCGGGGGGGACCGGGGGGAGCCGTGCCGGGGAGAGAGGGACCCCGCGGAGACCCCCGGTGCGGGGCTGCGCGGGGTTGCGCGCAGCGGCTCCCCGGAGGAACGGGGCGCAGAGGGTTTGGGGGGCCGCGGGGCTGCGGGAGGTGGGGAGGTGGGGAAGGGGGGGGGGGCGCAGGTCCTACCTGGGTACCCAGAGGCTGAGCAGCAGCGAGCAGAGTCCGTGGGCCAGGGCCGGGCGCATCTTCGCTGGGGCAGCGGCTGTGCGGGCTGCGGGCGGGCGGGCGCCTTTGGGGCAGGGGCGGCGGGGCTCGGCGCTGCTCTCTGCCCGCTTTGTTTGTTGTGGGTTGTTTGCTTGTTTGTGTTTTCCCCTCTCCTCCCTCTCACTGGCTCCCTGCGCGCCGGGGCTCGGCTCGCCGGGGCGGCTCTGCCATCCTCCCGGGATGCCCCCCCCGCCGCCTCCCGCCGCCCCAGCGCCCGCCGAGGGCTGCGCGCCCCCCCCGGGCTCCCTGCCCTCCGCCGCCGCCTCGCCAAGCTCCGCGCCCCCCCGCCTCAGCCCCCCATGGCCGGACGGGCCGGGGGGCCGGGGGGGCCCTCGGCCCTCGGGGCGCGCTCCCCCGCCGCTCCCCAGGGCGCCCCGGGGCTCCGGGGCCGCGGCGGGCGTGGGCAGGGCGCCCGGGGGGGGTGTGGGGGGGGCCGGCCGGCCGAGGGGCGCTGCGGCTCCCGCGGGGCCCGCAGGCACATGGGGAGCCGCGGGCCCCCCGCCGCCCCCCGCCGGTGTCGCCGGGTGGCCGGCGGAGCGGGCAGGGTCGCGGCCGGAGCGCCCCGGGAGCGCTGGGCGCGGAGCGGCGGCGGCGGCGGCTCTGGCTGGGATCGCGCTGCGCCGAGCATTACTCAGCGCCCGGAGCCCGAGTCCCGACACGTCCAGACAGGAGCCCGCGGGGGAAGGACGGGGCAGAGGGTGGCAGCGGGGCGGGGAGGCGGCGTGTCGCACGCAGGCTGCCGGGGAGGGAGCGGCCGGGGGGGGCGAGCGCCGGGCGTGGGGAGCGGGCACGGGCGGCGGGGGAGCGCTGGGGAACCGGGCAGGGCGCGCGGAGTGGGAACGGAGGGCGTGGGGGGGGCGTGGGAGGGAGTAGGGGGCGCGGGGAGGGGGTGCGAGGGGAGGGGGGGGCGTGGGGATGGAGCGCGGAGGGGGGCGAGTGGGCAGGGGGAGCGCGGAGCACGCGTGGAGTGGGGCGAGTGCGCGGCGCGGGGCGGTGGGGAGCCGGGGTGCTGCGCGCACCCTGGGGAGGGGGGGCGCACGGAGAGCTGAGGGGGGGTACGGGGTGCGGGAGCGCGTGGAGAGCCCGGTTTTAGGGCGAGGGTATCGGCTGCGGGGGGAGCGTGCACGAGTGGGTGTGCAAAAAGTGCAGGTGAGTGCGCAGGGAGAGGGGGGGGGTGTGGGGTGGGGGGTTGCGTGTGGCTTTGGTGAGTAGGGGGGAGTGGGTGCGGCACGGGGGGTGCGCAACACGTGGGGGGGATGCGCAGGGCACGGGGGGAGTGTGCAGGGAAAGTGTGAGTGCACGGTGTGGGGGAGAGTCCTCACGGAATGAGTGTGCACGGCACGGGGGGTGCGCAGTGTGCGTGGGGAGGGGGTGTGCACAGTGGGGTGTGTGGGGAGAAAGTGTGAGCAGTGGGGCTGTGCATGCACGGAGTGTTAGGTGACAGTGGGGTGAGTGTGCACGGGGCTTGGGGTGAGCGTGCAAGGGGTGAGCGAGTGTGTAAGGAGCATGGGGAGTGTGCACAGGGCATGGGGAAAGTGGTCAGTGTGCACGGGACAGGTGAGTGTGGGGTGGGTATTTAGGGTGTGGGGTGAGCGTGCACGGCAGAAGTTAAATCCGTGGGGCACGGAGCGAGTGTGCGCACGGTGGGGGCTGCCAGCTCCACCTGCGTGTGGGTTCCTGCTTGCAGCATCCTGGGGGGGGGATGCGGGAGGCTGGTGGTGCTGCCAGGACCCCCCAGCCAGCAAAGGGGACATGGGATGCTTGTCCCCTTGCTGCAGGCTGGCTGATGGTGGGTGCGGTGTCTGTGCTGGACAGAGCACACCAGGGGGCTTGGGGTGGTGGCGACACACACTGGGCTCTGAAACGGGGTCACTGCTCCTGCCAAGACCCCGTTCCTGTGCTCCTTTTCTCCCCAGACCCCAGCACAGGCAGCACCCTGGTCCATATGGACCAAGCGCGATGCCCTTCAGGCCAGGGAACTCCCCTTGGGGCTCCCCCAGTGGCAGCTGGGCTCCTGCAGCGCTGGGGATCCCAGCACCTGGGTCCTGGTTCCAGGTGTCTGTGTGCTCCTGCGGGGGATCCTGCACACAAAAAAGTCCCAAGGCAAACTGGAGGGGGGACGCTGAAACCCTCCTGCAGCCCCTAAAAACATCGCTGCATCCAGCCTGGCCTTGGGCACCTCCAGGGAGGTTCTTCCAGGCACTCTTTGGAGCGCTGGCTCACCTCTCTGCGGCTCTGGGATGTCCGAGGGCAGCTTCCCAGTGGTGTGGGAGGACGAGGCAGCTCTGCGAGCTCAGATAGAGGTGCAGGAGAAGCACCAGGAGCATGGTGCAGCTGGAGGACGGGCAGGGATGGAGCACCAGCAGGACAAACCCCCAGCCTGACCCCACCAGGAGGGCACGGCTGCTGCCTCGCACCGTGCAACGGACCCCACCGCCCCGCTGGGAGGAGGAGGATGGCGAGGAAGGAGCCCACACGGCTCAGCATTCCCCATCTCCCCAGCACCCACGGGACCGGAGCCATGGCCGCGAGTGAGTCAGGGCTCGGGGCGGGGTGGGGGGTTACTCAGCGGCGGCAGGGGAGCCCCCAGCACCGCTGCCCTCCCGCTGGCACGCGGCCGGCGACCTGCCCGAGTCTGCTCGCCGTGACTCAGGAGCGCACCGCCCGGCCACCCGGCCGGCCTGGCCTGTCTTCCTGGCTGCCCCGGGCTGGGGAGCTGGCGAGGAACGGGGCGGCGGGTGCGTGCCCAGCTCCTGCACCCTGCCACGGCCACGCTGCCCCTCGCGTCGGGGCGGAGGAGCAGGAGGCGGCCGTCCCCAGGAGCATCCTCGTGGGGATCCCCAGGAGCTCCTCCGCTCCTCCTCCCGGCAGCTGGCAGGGGATGGAGGCAGCTGGAGATGCTCAACAGCATCAGACACACAGCTTTTTCTTTTCCTCGCTCCCACCCGGCAGGTTGTCTCCTGCCTTCCCCCAGCAAGGTGCAAGGATGGGGAGATTTGGGGACATTCCTGTGGGCGTCACCAGACAGTCCCCATGGGGACTGGTGGGACGGCGCCCAGCCTGGGGCCACACCAGGAGCTGGGGGTGGCAGGGAGGTGGCCAGATAGGGACTGGCCAAGCACATCAGTGCTCCAGGTGCCCCCGCCAGGGCAGGATGAGGGTCCCCAGGATGGGTGGAAGGTGCTGGTCCCCAGCCGGGGTGAGGACACGGAGCGCTGGGACGCGGTGGGTGGCTCGGCACGGATGGGACCCCACGGGTGACTTCTGTCCCTGCGGCTGGAGGGAGCAGGGACAGAGCAGGGCGGCTCCCTGGGGAAAAGCAAAGCCTGGAGCAGGGGGTGGGAGGGCGTGGGGGGCACGGCAGGAGCCCTGGCCACAACTTGCTGGAGGTTTCGGGTGGTTTCGGGTGCTGCCCTCCGAGTTTTCCCTTGGCTCAGCTGCTCTCCGGGTTTCTCAGCCTCCCCCTCGTGGGCCTATCTGTGTTGGTCCAAACTTTCCTAAAAAGCTTCTTTTTTTGGAAAAAGAAAAAAAAAAATAAATCTATTTTTGGTCTCAGTCCAGAGGGATTTTTTTTCCCTGAGTTTGCTTGAATTAATCTGTCCGGCTGTTTTCAACCCGAGCGATTGAAGGGGAAGTCGTGCTCTTCCCATTGAAACAAAAATAAAAATAAAATAAAATAAAATGAAGCCATTCACATTACAGACTTTGGGGGTTTATTTTTTTTGACCCAAATTTTATAAACTTCCCTTTTCCCCTTGGTAGCTTCTGCCCAAGCCCCAGGATCCAGGCTGCACCCCCCACATCCCCCAAAGCATCTCTCCGTGCACCGTGGCACAAATCACCCCCGTGCACACCCTGTACCCCCCCACACGTGTAGGTACCCCCCGTGGACACCCCGCTACGCCCCCCGGCTCCCCCCCACGCCCTCCCCAAGCCCCCCCCGGACACCCCCGGGCCGGTCCCGGCTCCCCCTGGCGGCCTCGGGGCGCGGCGCACAGCGGCCCCGTCCCGCATCCCGCGTTGCCACGGCGACCCAGGGGATGCTGCGGGCTCCCGGGGGGGCTCCGGGGGTCTTGGGGTGTTCCCAAAGGGTCCGAAGGGTCTGGAGAGATAGGGGACTTCTAGGAATCGGGGGGGGGATGAGGAAATGAGGGGGTCCCAGGGCATGTGGGAGCGGTGCCCCCAGCTGCTGTCCCCCCTAAAGCCAGGCAGGGTGCTTGGAGATGTGCTGGGGGTGCCGAGGAGTCACCCCACAATCGGTGGCCCCTTGTCCCTGCCCTCACTCCGTTTTCCAGCTTCTTTTCCTCCGCGTTTTTGGCTTTCGTGGTTTCCAGCCTCCGGGAGCTGTAATTTTGGCAACGGCACGGAGGCCACACAGGTCAGAGCCCCCGCTCGCAGCACTACCTGCCTTGCCCAGGCTTTAGCCGGGAGCCAGCACCAGCCCAGGGTGGGGAAACTGGGGCAGGGCCCAGCGAAGGAGCTGACTGGGATGGAGCAGGAAACATTGCCCCCAGCCCCAGGCACAGCCCCTGCGCTCCGACATCTCCCGGGGAGATTTGGCATCCCCTGGTACAGCTGCCCACAGCCTGGGATGCTGCAGGGGCAGAGCAGAGCAAGACAAACACGCAGGCATGCAGGGGGACAGGGTCACCGCCAAGCCCCCTGAGGATTAGCCCCACGTACATGAACAGATGTGCACGAGGACACGTGGGGCAAACTGCTTGCACACCCACGAGGGGCTCACGCACGCAGCGGGGGGCGTGCACACGAGATCAAAAGCCCACGCCGAGCAGGGAACATGCAGCAGCGTGTTACCTGAGCGTGCACACACACACACACGCACACACACACACACACACACACGCACGGAGCTGCCTGCACGCACAGGCGCCTTGGCACGCACCCTCACACGCACCCGCGTGCTCCTACGCGCATGGCCGGGAGTTCCCGGGCGCCCCGCGTGCCTCCCCTCTCCCCGGGCCAGGAGGGAATTTCCAGCTCTGAAGCTGCAGCTGACAGATTTAGAGGCTCCCGCCCCAGCGCTCACCAGGCCACGTTAAAGCTTCGCCACCACCCTGCTTCCTCCTCGCTGCCAGGGCTGGGTGAGGAGGGACCCACCGGGGTATTTTTTCGGCACCGCAGCCCCCTTCGCCTCGCGGCGTGCCCACGCCACGAGCCCTGCTCCTGCCCTGCCTGGCGGTGCTCCTCGCCCCGTGTTTGCCCAGGAGGGTACGGGCTGATCGTGTTACCGAGCCCTGCCTGGCGCCGTGCCGGCCAGGTGAGGCTGCACGTGGCCCACGGCATGCCAAGAGAATGCCTCGCATGCCACCAGCCCCACGGTGCCAGCGCCACGCGGGGCTTTGCTGTGCCACCACAGCAGGGAGGTGGCTGGAGGTGGAGAGATAAGAACAGGGGACGCCAAAAAGTCCCAGCTCGTCACCGTGGCGGCTGGTGGGAGGGGAGGGGATGGCCGTCAGCGCTTCCCAGCCCTCCCCAGGAAGCGCTGGAGCACACCGGCTTTAAATAGCTTTATTAGTGGAAGCTCTGCACCCGCAGCCCCCCCGAGGGGCCGTGGGGACGCCGGGCAGCCCCGCAGTATCCCCAGACAGCGGGAACACCCCGCACGCAGAGCTGGGCTCCCTCTCCGCCAGCCCAGCCTGACCCAC